GTCCCCACGCGGTAAGTGAAATTCACCCCCTGCTCCTTCTGAACCTGCTGGGCCGTTGCCTCGATGACTTTCTTCAGCTGAACCAGCTCCTCCAGGGTCGACACCAAAGGTACCATGACCTCGGCCACTGGGGTCTTCTTGGCGCTGCAGCCGACCTCTGCTGCGGCCTCGAAGATGGCGCGAGCCTGCATCTCGCAGATCTCTGGATATGTAATGGCCAGGCGACAACCTCGGTGGCCAAGCATGGGGTTGGCCTCTTGCAGCTCGCTGGCGCGGCGGCGTACGCGATCCAAGGGCACTCCGGCTGCCTTTGCCACCAGGCCCATCTCGGCCTCCGTGTGCGGGATGAACTCATGCAAGGGAGGGTCCAGTAGACGGACCGTCACCGGCAGACCGTCCATAATGCGAAACAACTCAACGATGTCTGCCCTCTGCATAGCCAAAAGCTTGTCCAGAGCTGCCTGCCGGTCCGTCTTGTCCGATGCCAAAATCATCTGCCGCATTGCCACAATCCGGCCGCCCTCGAAGAACATGTGCTCCGTGCGCACCAAGCCGATGCCTTCGCAGCCAAACTCCTTTGCCTGGCGCGCATCTGCCGGCGTTTCGGCATTGGCCCGAACCTGCATGGTGCGGAACTCGTCCGCCCAGGACATGACGGTACCAAAGGCACCGGAAAGCTGCGGGGGCACCGTGGGGACTTCTCCAAGCATCACCTCTCCCGTGACACCATCAATGGTGACGAGCTGACCCTCACTGACGACCACATCGCCCACCTCGAACGACGCCGAGCTATAGTTGACCTTCACCTCCCCAGCACCTGCTACACAGGGCCGGCCCATGCCACGTGCCACCACAGCTGCGTGGCTTGTCATCCCACCACGAGTCGTCAGAACACCCTCAGCCGCATGGAGGCCGTGGATGTCGTCTGGGCTGGTCTCGATGCGAACAAGGATCACCTTGTCGCCGTTCTCCGAGCGGGTGACGGCCTCGTCGGCCGAAAAGACTACCTTCCCAGCGGCTGCACCTGGCGAAGCCGGGAGGCCCTTGGCAATGACGGTCTTCTTGGCCTTGGGGTCCAGCGTTGGGTGGAGCAGCTGGTCAATCAAGTCCGGCTTGAGGCGCATCAAAGCCTGGGATTTGCTAATTAGCCCCTCATTCGCCATATCCACCGCAATCTGCAGGGCTGCATGGGCCGTGCGCTTCCCCGTGCGGGTCTGCAGCATGTAGAGCTTGCCTTGCTGGATTGTAAACTCGATGTCCTGCATGTCCCTGTAATGGTTCTCCAGCTGGTGCC